GAATGCGTAACTAGGGTTCGATAAACGAATATACGCGCAATCGACATTGGCGCCGCACAAGGCCAACATCGAGAACGACATCGACTTGATCAACATTCACTGTAATTTGATTAACGGTGGATTTTTCAACAAGCACAAACGCCAAATCATATACAGCATACCGACTTTTACGGTGCCGATCGGATACAGAATTATAGAGAAACCGTTTCAAACGACCTATTTAGCGAGTAAGGTCTCGGTCACACGTCAGTACGTCAGTAAACACGTCAGACCCGTCAGTATATACGTCAAACACGTCAGTAAACACGCCAGACACGTCAATACGTCGATGCTACCTTACAAACTTATGACTTATGTTTATAAAAACTACTACATTAAAAAACGAAATTTCAAGAAATTTGCAAAACAAATCGCCATTCTTTACAGTCATTTCAATTCAATTAGTGCCGCGTACAAATTTAAGAATTATTACTTATAAAGAGAAAAAGAATATTATCACAATGATTTATAGTGGGGATTAAAACAACTGCCTGGTTAACAGACTCAATCGCAAACTGGGATAAGGTGTTCCAGAAAGTGTAAGCATGCCAAAGATATGAAAACGCGTCAAAGAACTGTTATTCCTCACAAATCAATCCGTCGGTACGTGAAAAATAAAATAACTATGTGAACTCTCTCAAAACAACTGCCTTAATTGTTGGCAGACTCAATCGCAAAGTTTCGGAAAGTGTAACCATGCCTTAAAACGTTTAGGTCGAGTTTTAAACACATCTCAGTAGGTAAAAACATCAGTACGTCAGTAAACAAGTCAAAGAACTGGTTTTCGTCACACGTCAATACGTCAGTTCACACAACAGCTAGACGCGTCAAAGAACTGTTATTCCTCACAAATCATTCCGTCAGTAAAGAAAAGTTAATCAAACTATGTGAACTCTCTTAAAATACCACATTTTTCACAGACTCAATCGCAAAGTGACCTCAGGTGTTCCAGAAAGTATAAGTTATCCTTAAAACGTTTAGGTCGAGTTTTAAACACACCTCAGTAGGTAAAAACATCAGTACGTCAGTAAACAAGTCAAAGAACTGGTCTTCGTCACACGTCAATACGTCAGTACACACGTCAGACGCGTCAAAGAAATGAAAACACGCCAGACGTGTCAAAGAACTGTAATTCCTCACAAGTCAGTCCGTCAGTAAAGAAAAGTTAATCAAACTACCACATTTTAGACAGACTCAATCGCAAAGTGGCCTCATGTGTTCCAGAAAGTGTAAGCATGCCTTAAAACGTTAATGTTGACTTTTAAATACACCTCAGTAGGTTAAGACTCAAATCCGTCAGTAAACACGTCAAAGAACTGGTCTTCGATACACGTCAATACGTCAGTACATATGTCAGTACACACGTCAGACGCGTCAAAGAAATGAAAACACGTCAGACGCGTCAAAGAACTGTTATCCCTCTCAAGTCATTCCGTCGGTAAAGAAAAGTTAATCAAACTATGAGAACTCTCTTAAAATACCACATTTTGACAGACTCAATCGCAAAGTGGTCTCAGGTGTTCCAAAAAGTGTAAGCATGCCTTAAAACGTTTAGGTCGAGTTTTAAACACACCTCAGTAGGTTAAAACTCAAATCCGTCAGTAAACACGTCAAAGAACTGGTCTTCGTCACAAGTCAATACGTCAGTACACACGTCAGACGCGTCAACGAAATAAAAGCACGTCAGACGCGTCAACGAAATAAAAACACGCCAAACGCGTCAAAGAACTGTTATCCCTCTCAGGTCAGTCCGTCAGTAAAGAAAAGTTAATCAAACTATGTGAACTCTCTTAAAATACCACATTTTTGACAGACTCAATCGCAAAGTGGCCTCAGGTGTTCCAGAATGTATAAGTATGCCTTAAAACGTTTAGGTCGAGTTTTAAACACACTCCAGTAGGTTAAGACTCAAAACCGTCAGTAAACACGTCAAAGAACTGGTCTTCGTCACACGTCAATACGTCAGTTCACACGCCAGACGCGTCAAAGAAATGAAAACACGTCAGATGCGTCAAAGAGCTGTTATCCCTCGGAAGTCAGTCCGTCAGTAAAGAAAAGTTAATCAACTAATACTGCCTTTTTGACAAGCTTAACCGCAAAGTGGCCCCAGGTGTTCCAGAAGGTTTAAGCATGCCTTTATACGTTTAGTTTGAGTGTTTGTGGCATGATTGACGCATTGGCTTTTTTTACCTTTTTTTTGATCGTGTGAAAGATTGAATGCTCTATCTAAGAAGTAATGTTTCGGATGAACTGACAGACTTGTTGGACTATGTTGATAATACATAATTATGTGTCTGATGGATTTCGTACTATACAGCCCCCTGTAATTGTTCCAGGAGGTCATCTTCCCCCAATAAGAATGAGTAGGCGACCAGCTCTTTTTCCTCCCGAGCAATGGAATGTACATCTGGCCACCTTAGATAATGAAAGTCGTACCAACAACTTTTGTGAAGGGTGGAATTAGTTGGTCACATTCATCCTGGTATCTGGACTGTGATCGACAACATTCGGAAAGATGCATGTCTCGTAGCAACTGTTTTCTATCAAGATGCTAGGGTGAACTACCATCCAAACGCACCAAACGCTCTACCCAGCAATTGCAGGTCCGTCTTTATAACTTATGTGAACAGTTCAAAAAAGCTGAAAAAAATGTGGAAGATTTCTTGAAAGGTGTAGCAAGAAATATAAGATTGTTGTGATTGTCCGATGAGAAATTATATGTCCTATCCTGTGTCCTTATTGACATATAAATGTGCCCCAGCCTTCAAATAGGTTACCTTTGTTATGACTAAATGTGCTACATTAATTTTGTTTTACAATCTTAACTTTGTTTGATATATATATTAAAAGTTTTAAATAATTTGATTTTTTTGTAGGGGCTTTTGTCCTAGGTAATAGGGGGTTTTGTCCGTAGGGGCTTATTTAATTGCCCTTGTACAAATCCTTATATGTCATTATGCCGACAAACATCAAAGTCCTAATTACTGTGCTTAACTTAAAACATGTATTACCTTTATTACTTTATGACATTCAGAATACCCACAATCTTCAAAAAGTTAACTTTGTTGGCTAGTTCTACTACTGAAGTGTGATGAATACTCAAACTAAACGTATAAAGGCATGCTTAAACCTTCTTGAACACCTGAGGCCAATTTGCGATTGAGTCTGTCAAAAATAGGGTATTTTAAGAGAGTTCACATAGTTTGATTAACTTTTCTTTACTGACGGAATGACTTGTGAGGAATAACAGTTCTTTGACGCGTCTGACGTGTTTTCATCTCTTTGACGCGTCTGACGTGTGTACTGACGTGTGACGAAGACCAGTTCTTTGACTTGACTTTTAAAGCATACTTACACTTTCTGGAACACCTGAGGCCACTTTGCGATTGAGTCTGTCAACAATTAAGGCAGTTGTTTTAAGAGAGTTCAAATAGTTTTAAAAACTTTCTTGACTGACTGACTGAAGTATAACAGTTCTTTGACGCGTCTGGCGCGTTTTCATTTCTTTGACGCGTCTGACTTGTGTACTGACGTGTGACGAAGACCAGTTCTTTGGCGTGTTTACTGACGGTTTTGAGTCTTAACCTACTAGAATGTGTTTAAAACTCGATCTAAACGTTTTAAAGCATACTTACACTTTCTGGAACACCTGAGGCCACTTTGCGATTGAGTCTGTCAACAATTAAGGCAGTTGGTTTAAGAGAGTTCAAATAGTTTTAAAAACTTTTCTTGACTGACTGACTGAAGTATAACAGTTTTTTGACGCGTCTGGCGCGTTTTCATTTCTTTGACGCGTCTGACGTGTGTACTGACGTATTGACGTGTGACGAAGACCAGTTCTTTGACTTGTTTACTGACATACTGATGTTTTTACCTACTGAGGTGTGTTTAAAACTCGACCTACAAGTTTTAAGGCATGTTTACACTTTTTGGAACACCTGAGGCCACTTTGCGATTGAGTCTGTCAAAAACGTGTTATTTTAAGAGAGTTCACATAGTTTGATTAACTTTTCTTTACTGACGGACTGACTTGTGAGGAATAACAGTTCTTTGACGCGTCTGACGTTGTTTTTATTTCTTTGACGCGTCTGACGTGTGTACTGACGTATTGACGTGTGACGAAGACCAGTTCTTTGACTTGTTTACTGACGTACTGATGTTTTTACCTACTGAGGTGTGTTTAAAACTCGACCTACAAGTTTTAAGGCATGTTTACACTTTTTGGAACACCTGAGGCCACTTTGCGATTGAGTCTGTCAAAAACGTGTTATTTTAAGAGAGTTCACATAGTTTGATTAAATTTTCTTTACTGACGGAATGACTTGAGAGGAATAACAGTTCTTTGACGCGTCTGACGTGTTTTCATTTCTTTGACGCGTCTGACGTGTGTACTGACGTATTTACGTGTGACGAAGACCAGTTCTTTGATTTGTTTACTGACAGAAGTTTTGATGTTCCAACCGTGTGATGAAATTTCGGCCCAAACGTATTGACGCACACTTAACCTTTCTAGAATACCTGATGCCACACAGATCTTGAGTTTTCGAAAAAAGCAGCCCTTTGAGAAAGTTCCTAAAGTTCATGCGTTTTTTACAAAAACTCTGTAAAGAACAAACAATATTGGCAATTGCTACTGTTTTGACGTGTTTACCGACGTGTTTATTTTCATAACAGAATTTTCTAAATGATCTTTCGTTTTTCGTTGAAATATATTGAAATGCTGTATTTTGTAAGGTATCATTGACGTGTCCATTTTCAAAATATCGTTTTTATTTCGTTTTGTGACTAAAAATAATATGATGCTTGATTTTATAAGGTAGCATCGACGTGTGACGTGTTGACTGACGTACTGACGTGTGACGGAAAAACAATTCTTTCATGATCAAAGATATAAATCTGGAAATCAAAGACGGTAAAAACAGGTTCATAGACTTTGGCAGCGAAGAAATTGTCATTCAACTTCATTTAAAACAATATTCATTCTCTTCTTGAATAGTAAGATAATCGAAATCATCAAATTCATAGTTTTCATCAAAACTATACTCATCTTTGTCGTTGTAAGGATACATAATTCCTTCACTGTTTGGTGGTTTTCTTTTAACATTATTCAAATAACTTCTAAAAACTTTAGTTTGTTTATCATTTGGAATAACTACTCCATTGGTGAAACTTTTTTCCCATGGTTTATTAAATTCGTTCGACACATCATGTCCGCTTGCTAACTGAACGTAATCTTCTACACTTATCTTATCATTAGAATAACCTTTAAACGTTTTCTTTTCTTTTAAGACACCATCAGAAGTCAAAACTATGTTGTATTTGACTTTTGGTGCTAAATATAAACCAAATATAATTCCACCGTCACCGTAATCGTTTTTACCTTTGCAATAGTCTTTTTCGGAGACCAAACCAGCTCTGTTTAGTTTTTTCCAATTTTTGGATGAAATGTACAAACTATCGGTGTCGGTATAGTATATTTCGGGTTTATAAAATCCACTTATGACGTGAATGAAATTGTTCATTATTTTTTTTACTGATAAAACGAATGATCCCAATTGACTAGGTGTTAGTCGTGTAGATTTACTATCTTCGGTAGTAATCTCTTTAACTTCAATTTCTGTTTCAACAATATATTGAGTATCATTAATTTTGTCATAGGTTTTAATATGTGAATCAAAGTTGGCCTGTAAAGTTGCTTCATTCCATAAATGTCTAGTTGTGAATATATCTTTCTGAATTGATTTACCATACAAGGAATTACCTAATAATTTCATGCAATTACTACCCACGATATTACCTTCTCGTTTATATTTATTTCTTAGATCTCTCAAAATTAAAATATAATCTCTATAGGGTGGAGTTTTAAAATTTTCTTCGTAAACTATACCATCTAATATTCTAATAATTCTTCCACCGGCTTTCACTATTTCTTTCACTAAAAACTTTAGTTTGTTTATCATTTGGAATAACTACTCCATTGGTGAAACTTTTTTCCAATGGTTTATTAAATTCGTTCGACACATCATGTCCGCTTGCTAACTGAACGTAATCTTCTACACTTATCTTATCATTAGAATAACCTTTAAACGTTTTCTTTTCTTTTAAGACACCATCAGAAGTCAAAACGATGTTGTATTTGACTTTTGGTGCTAAATATAAACCAAATATAATTCCACCGTCACCGTAATCGTTTTTACCTTTGCAATAGTCTTTTTCGGAGACCGAACCAGCTCTGTTTAGTTTTTTCCAATTTTTGGATGAAATGTACAAACTATCGGTGTCGGTATAGTATATTTCGGGTTTATAAAATCCATTTATGACGTGAATGAAATTGTTCATTATTTTTTTTACTGATAAAACGAATGATCCCAAATGACTAGGTGTTAGTCGTGTAGATTTACTATCTTCGGTAGTAATCTCTTTTTCTTCAATTTCTGTTTCAACAATATATTGAGTATCATTAATTTTCTCATAGGTTTTAACACGTGAATCAAAGTTGGCCTGTAAAGTTGCTTCATTCCATAAATGTCTAGTTGTGAATATATCTTTCTGAATTGATTTACCATACAAGGAATTACCTAATAATTTCATGCAATTACTACCCACGATATTACCTTCTCGTTTATATTTATTTCTTAGATCTCTCAAAATTAAAATATAATCTCTATAGGGTGGAGTTTTAAAATTTTCTTCGTAAACTATACCATCTAATATTCTAATAATTCTTCCACCGGCTTTCACTATTTCTTGAATATCGACCGATGTTAAAACGTCGTGACAGAAACCTTTTCTGAACCTGATTTTGTTACCAGTTTCCTTTTTACCTTCTTTATTCGTGAAAGTGATTTTATCTTTAGCTGGTATCGGTTGGAAGAACATGTTTTTGGGATAGTCAAACCACACTGTTAAAATAGCTGTTCTAGGTCTGAATTTTTGTTTATTGAAGAGTTTTACAAATTCTTTTTCTTCTTCTGGTAGAAACGGTCTTCCACTTTCCGCTCTCGGATATTCACTGTCTAAATCCGACATGGCGGAAGCGTATAAACCGTTAGCATCAAATGCCATTAGTTTAGTACATTCTATTTTTTTAAGTCTCGAATGAACCTCCGTTTTGTCTTTTGTGCTTGCACTGTATTCTTTGAATAAATCAATTATGTTATTACTTTCTGTTTGTGAAATATATTCCTTTAATACGTTACAAATGTCATCCATTTTGTTCGTTTCAAATGATTTTCTATTTGCCGAAACTCTTCCTCCTTTAATAAATCGTCTGATAAAATTTCTTATAAAAGGATTAGTATGCGAATAAACTTTTTCTATATTTTCTTTTTCGGTATGTTTCGCAACCATTCTAGTAGTTTCATACCATTCTTCTTCCACCATTTCTTTATCGTAATGATATAAATAATACCAACCCTTTAAAGATAAAGATGGAGCCATTAGATTATTGGACATATTCTGGTTTACAACTTCTTTCGTGACTTGGTTGTATTTTATCAAACAAGCTCCCAAACAGAGAGTGTCTCTCTTGGCGTAAGGTTCCCATTCGTGTCTCAATTCCTCCCAGTTGTCTTGCGTGTATTTAGCGATATCTACGTCGGCAATCTTTCTCAAATTCGCGGGGAGATTGGAAGAATTTCCCCATGCAGCCAAACTAGAGGATTCGTGTTGGTAGGAACACGTGAAATTAATATGTTGTAAATAATTACCCTTTATTTCTTTCTGTCTTTTCCATTTTTTCTGTAAATCTTCATCTGTGTATGGATTAGATAAAGAAAAAGATAGAATTCCTCTAGGTGTTTTTAAAGGGCAATGCGTTAGTTTTTTTGCATTTGTAAGCACGATCCAGTTGTCGAATCCACTGCCGTTATGAGAAATTAATATTAATCTCTTTCTATCATATTGACCTAAATATTTCAACATTTGATCTATACAATCTGTATCTACAAACAGTTCTACTACATTCATTAGTTTATCATAAAATTCTTCTGGAACATTATCAGTAGGATTTATATTTGGAAAGATATTTTTTATCGTTTCTATCTTTTTTCTTAGTTTTTCTAAATTAATTAAAGTGCGGGCATAAGGAATTGCTCTTCGACTGTTTTTTTTCTGAATACGTTTCGCAATCCCAAGCGAATAACGCATCATCGCTCATACTCGAAAGCACGTTTAGTTTGAGAGGTGAAACCTATGTTACTGCGTTATCGTCTCTACACGTTTTCCACACCTGTTCGTAATTGTCTTCTATTTCTTGAATTCCCAAACTTTTTTGGCTTCTTCTAATCAGACAGAAATGCGAGTTGTGTAAGTAAAAAACCCAATGTAATTCATCGTGAACGTCTCTGGGATAAAAATGTTTGTTTTTGGGATTATAAATTTGAAACGAAGTGTTGAATTTCTTGTTGAATTCCTTCATTCTAGCACAAGTCATCACTCCTTTTATATTTGCTTTTGAAAACCTGTTGATGTATTCTTGAAATTCTCTCGTGTAGTCTTCGTTTAAAACACGATTAACGCATTTTATAAAACAGTGACCATCTGTAGGTATTAACAATTTTCGCCGACGAATTCATTGATCTTTTTTAGTAGATCAGTTCCTCCTCTACCAACTCTCGATCTTTTTATTTCTTGGAAATTGTCTTTCATTAAAATTATTTTTCCTGTAAAATACCAATCGGAAGCATCGGATTTTTTGTCCATATTTGAATATATATATTGTGAAAGGTTTTGGCATTGAAACCGAGGAGTGACATGTATTGTCTGTGATTCCCTTCCTCGACTATCTCTCCATCTATTTTAATTTGTCCTTTGAATGTTTTAAATTTATCAGAGATAGAATTGATAACATCGGAAAATAGGGCGTTTTCTATCAATGTTTCATCGTCTGCAAGTTCGACTTTATTCATATTTTTTTAAGTATATATTTTTGATTATTTCTTTATTTTGACTAATTTCATTGAATAATGAAATATGTGTGACGGCATTACAGGTTTGTTTGAAGACTACTTTATTGACTTCATGGGAAACTCTATTTGAATCAGAGAATTACCTCGATTTTTCTTTCCAAAGCGGTTAGTTTTCGTTTCAATCTATCCTCGTTTACATTTGGGTTATCTATTAAACGTTGGGCGTCTATTTTTACCTTCGTAATCTGATCGTCTAATTTAGATATTAAATTTTGCAACTGACTTGTTTTATCCACTTGAATAAGACGTTTCAAACTCGTTAACTCTTGTTGTAGTTTGGGTTCGTTCACAAGATTTTTAATATTTCGTCTGAAGTATTTTTTCAAGTCATTTATTCTATTTTCAACATGGTCCTTATCTATTTGAATTGCGTTTATTTGAATTGCGTTTATTTGATCCAGTAAATATTTCGTGTTCACGGCATCGTTATCGTTTCCTGGAAACTTTAAATTAGGTATTTTGAAATTGTTCATATCGATATCCCCTTGTAAGGTGTCTCCGATTTGATCCACAATATAAACGTCGTCATGGGATTTTTAGATTCTAGAGGTAAAGACCCTAATCCAAACTTGTTTGCCATTTTTATTGAGTTAAATTTATTATAATTTCTTCAAACTTTTCTCCCAAACTCAACCGATATAAAACCCAAAGCGACAGCTGTCCACACAGCTTTTGTCCTGGCATTTGAATTTGAAACGTAGAACATTTGATTGGCTTGCTAGTCAATTTCGTTATCTCTTCTGTCGGTTCTAGACCGAAAGAATCAAAGAAATAAAAGTTATTCGAAGAATCTTTGTGTAAAGCAGAGTGATGAACTCCTTTTTGATCCGAAGTATGAATGTTTGTGATGGTGTAAAATTTACCTTTCTTGTATTTCAGTTCATCAATTTCATCTCGCATGCAATAATAAAACGGCGAGACGTTCAACTCCTTGGCCCATTTCACAAGTTGAAAATTTGTGGTCGTGGCCGTATTTATCGAGAAACGCATTCATTTTTTAAGTCGATTTTTTTAGGTGTTTTTCGAAGTAGGCGGAAAGTATTGCTGAAGACCCAATTGACGAAATATATACGTAGTTTGTGTTTGAAAAAACTTGTATAACATTCTGATAAAACACATTCAATAATATTTTGAAGATAAATTTACATTTAAATTTAAAAAATCTTAATTTAAGAGAGCGTAAATGCTTGTCGACATCTAAATTTCTTAACCTTTCATCTAAATCTTCATTTTCGAGATTCATTTTTAAAAGTCAGTTTTTTGAAGTTCATTTTGTTAAAACCTTCCTATGATTTGTTCTTTGTCTTGATCGATCAATTCATACGTGGGAGGTGATGTGTTGTTTACTTTATCAACGATGAATATCTCGTTAGTCCAATAGCCGACGTAACCTTTCTGAAACAATGATTTATATTTAAAAATACGAACTCGATCTCCAACTTTGAATTTGGGTTTAATATTCAAATTGCTAATCTCGTTTTCAAAGTTGTTTCGAGTGTTGACGGACTTTATGATATTCGGGTTATTAGAGGCTTGCGATGGCGTCACACCTATAGACGAATGTATTTTGTTATTCTATTCGTCGACAACTACTGGTAATATTTTAAGCCATTTTTGAGATTTCAATTTCG